TGCAAAGTTTCATATCTTACACTTGTAGAAAGGCAAGATCTGTTTTAACTGGGAGCAGGTGGGAGTGACTTCATGACTGCCATTAAGAAAGTATAACCTGTTGGGAAACTGTTTCTGCCTTGATGATGTTATACAGACAAGAGATAAACAGTGAGGAATGTGCCAGATGTATTGGGAAAGAGATGGTCTGTGGCATTGTCACAAAGGTACGTGAATATTGAGTGAATATGCTGAAGGAATGAGCCCATTGGTGGTGACCCTCAGGAGTGAGACCAGAATTGTTACAATATTTCAATAAGCCAAGGCAGTTGAGCAGGCTCTAAGATTCATGACCCCCACTAATTCTGTTGTGTGCAGGCAGTTACCTGGCATGGCCACCAATCTTCTCACTCTTGAGACTCTGAGCGACTGGCAGTGCCTTGGCTCTGAACTCAGACACCTCAAACCTTGTGTTTGTAGTTAAGAGATCCTAAAGTGCTGTGGGACAGTCGTTTTCCTCAGCAGTAAGTTAAAATTTGGTTACTGACATCCCTCGATCTGATTCCAACCTATTTGATTTCACGGTTTGCCTCCCATCATATTGTTTGATTTTCTCCCCAGTCCTAAGCTCACGTCTTTTGCCACACCGTCAGCATGAGTAACGTGTTACGGACCTTGATAAGTAAGAGAAAATGAAGAATGAGCCTCTAGAAATCAACGAGAAATTGCGCCCCCAGCAGGTGAAATGAAACTTAATCAGTTCCTACACACCAAGAGGAAATTTCTTGCAACTCCATTGGCCTACTTTCTGGCCAAGGGGCAGGAGTACTTACAGTAAGTTCCATAGGCTCACCATCCACGAGAAGTGATGAATGATCATCCTGTCTTCTGCTCTCAGAGAGACGATTCTCTCCATCAAAGAAATAATTTAATCCTTCCCTTGCATTACAAATGAAATAGGTATTTTCATTTTATTAATGTTAGAAAACAGATGTACAAGTATTTTGAAACTTTCCTGTTTGCCGTCAGGAGTGGGGATGGACCACGGTAGAATAGCAGTTATTGATTTCGGGCTGAGCGGAACCACCTGTTTCTCAAAGACTAAATTATGTTTTCAAGAATCCTCTATGCCATATAAGATCAAGCAGACCAATGACATCTAGTCTGTTATGCTAAATGTCTAGGGCTAGTGAACACACCTTCAGTTCAAGCTTCTGTTGAGGCCCAACAAGGCAAAGCTCTGTTCTAGGGACCTAAAATTTGTTGATAGTACAGTACCGCTTTATGAGGCCTCAAGAAAGTCTGCTTCTAATAGAATGTGTGATATTTCTATAATAATAGCATCAAAACAGGGAGTAGGGGCCGTGCAAGGTGGCTCAGTACTGTAATCCCAGCACTTTGGGAGGCTACGGCGCGAGGTGGATCACGAGGTCAGGAGTTTGAGATCAGCCTGGGCAACATGCAGAAACCCCGTCTCTACTAAAATTACAAAAGTCATTAGGCATGGTGGTGGGCACCTGTAATTAACCTCGGGAGGCAGGCAGGATCCTTTGAACCCAGGAGACAGAGGTTGCAGTGAGCCGAGATCATGCCATTGCACTCCAGCCTGGGTGACAAGGCCAGGTTAAAATCAAAAAAAAAAAAAAATTAGAAAGAAAGAAAAGCAGAGTACCTGGTGAGAGGGAATCCTGCTTCCTCGAGGCACACAGGCTTTTGTTCCTAAGGAAGAAATTCATTGCCCAAGAATGTGTAAATGATAGTGCAGTGTGAGCAGGAGACCTGATCATCTCTGGGCTGCATGCTTTCTTGTCCTGTCTGTCTCAGTTTCCTCATCTGTTCTCGCAAGATTACTACAATGTTTGACCTCTGTAAGTGCTGCAATGAGTTACATGAGTTATTTGCATCAATCTCTGGGGCATTTGTGGCACAAGTAACTTTATCTATTAGTCTTATTCTTATAACATAAATTAACTGGAAAGCTTTGTTAGTATTAGAACATATTTCCTTCATAGTCTTGTGATCTTATGTCTCATATGTTATGTTTCTGTTATGATTATTTAAGTCTGTCTGCAGATATGATTTAAAATCAAAGATTTTAAGATCTTTGACATGAGTGTCTCATGAAAATTCAGCGGAAACCATCAGTCCCATTCTAAGAGGCCTTCCCAACTGTCTGAAATCTCTCTTCATGCCCCAGTGCAGTGTTTTGGAGGAGGCTGCAAGGCAGGGAAGTGGCCTTGCCCGTAAATCCACCTCAAGAACAATTCTGACTCCACTTTGTGTGATTGAATCATCTTGTCACTTCCTTCCAGTGTACCTTGAGTTTCGAGTTTGTTTTGTCTCTAAATTTTGGAGGATGAGATGCAAAAGTGGAGACTGAAGAGTAAAGAGGTGGAAATCCTGCCTCTCAGAGGCCTTGGCTAGGGTCGGTTATGTCCTTGGGACGGACCTAGCTCCTGCCCTGTCAGGCAGTGACCACCGCTATGTGTCCAGCTTTTCCACTGGGGCGATTGTGTCTGTCTTTCTCAGACTAGAAGAGTCACAAAGACCTCCTAAATCTATCTGTAGGATAGGCAATTAGAAGGAGGAGAAACACAGAGCAACTCGGAAGGCAACTCAGAAAAGCTCAGAGTGAGGGCTGTGCAGGCAGAGTGGGCAGGTGTGTAAATCTCTGAAGTACAGCGCTTTCAGTGGGGTGAAGTAAGGCTAAGCTGGGTCTGGGAAGGGGCAGGAGAATTGCTGCTTAGCAGGCTCACATACACAAGATTTATGAAACAGAGAACAAGGATAATAATAAGTTATGGGTTGCAGTTGTTTCTCGACTATGATTTTCTTTTCAGAAGAAGTAATTGTTGAGTGAAATTTGCATAACACAAAATTAACTAAAGGGTAGAACAGCCAACGGCATTAGTGTACTCAAATGGTGCGCCATCCACCACTTACCCTTAGTCAAAATCACCTCTGACTGACTCGGCTTCTACTCATCCTTTCGGTCAATCAGTGTTGCCTTCTGGAGCCTGTCATTCTTTTCTTCTTTCATCTTTTAAATAGTCCCCTCTGCACGGGCCTCATTTCTGTCATGGCTTTGCATCTAGGGTGCGAGATGCACTATGTGTATTTTGTATGGGAAATGTCCTAGCCAGAGTGAGGAACTGAAAGAATGAATGTCTTTTGAAACTGAATAAAGGAAGCCACCTACTTTTGTTTACAGAAGGGGAAAGATAAATGGAACATTGTGGGGATCTTACACAGAGGCCCTCTCTGATATAGACGAAGCCTGTAAACCTTTTGTTCTTTCTCTTGGTCACAGACATTTGAAATATGTGCTGACCTTCTCATGAAGTCTCATGAGGACATTGTCTCAGAAATCTCTGTCGCAATATTAGAACTGATCAGTCACCCCTTTCCACTGTTCTATTTTCTCTACTATCTCTCCTTAGGCAATATAAAGTCCTGGTTCCAGTCTCCAGGAGCGAGCTGGGGCCAATTAAAGGAAAGAAGTTGCGGGAAGGGAGAGATGCCTCCCGCGCATTGAATCAGCATCTCCCGACCCTCCTCACTCTGGATGACGGCCAACTTCAGGGAGGGACCTCCAGAACAGCTGGCTGAGGCTGTAAGTAGCTGGCACCTCAAATCCAGCTCACCCCAGGTAAGGTTTTATAGGATCTGATGACCACAACCCCAGGCTTATGAGACTCCAGACTTCCATACTTTCCACAATGACAGTTATCAGGTGGTGTTTCTTCACACTAAACATATGTGACCATGACATGACCAGGACTTCCTGGGTGAGATCAGAGATGGGAAACCCTGCAACCCATGGGGTTGGAGGTCACAGTATTGGGAATGTCCCTCCTTCCTTGATGGGTGGTCTTTGGAGCCAGAGGCAACATCTCTCTGGTTATGCAGGGAGAGGAAGGAGGCTGTGACAGGAGATTAGCATTAGAGTGAAAGAGCTCTGGACTAAGAATGAAGGTTCCCAGGCTGTCTCTTTGGCAATGTTCTTAGTAAGTGTCGGTGAGTGAGTGATTTTTCCCTCGTGAGATTCTCTCTCTCCATCTGCAAAGGCAGGCACATTGTCTCTTGCAAGGTTCTTCAAACATCCAAATGTGGGAACACTCTGTGCTTTTTTGAAAATGAGATAAAGCCCTTCGCTGTGTGGTGTTAGGGAAGGCACTTGACGTGGGAGCATTTGGTTGTAAGAGTGCTTCAGACTGGAGCCTCCCCATGAAACATGTCCCTGAATAACACAGCAGAAGCCACATGGAGGTACTGTGGTCTCCTGATACATAGAGGACTGTAGAGACAGTTTGTCCTCTCCTAAGAGAAAGAATTAGGTTCGAAATGAGAACTGACAGAACATGACCTGCACAGATCGATTTGTGGTGGGATGATGGAGACAGCTGCCAAGAAATCTGGAGAGAGGCTGCGCAAGTCCCCAGTGATATAGGCAACAAAGGTTCTTTTCAATATTTGGCCACATCTTGATGGTGGCCCTCCAGATCAGAAATGCATTGCCTGATGGATCAGGAAACCATGCCAGGAGCATTTGTTAAAGTAAAACATGAGGCTTTCAATTGTAGATGGTGACCCATGCCTAGATGTCCATGTCTCATGCACGTGGGCTGACTGTTACTTATAGAGTGAAGTGGAAATGTCTGAACGAACACTTCTGTATTTACAGAAAATGATGAGATAACGATGAAGATGTTAAGGTGGGAGGCTGAGAGAAATTACAGGAGTCGTATGCCCCCAGGTAACAACAATACGTAACTGATGACAGAACTTGTGGCCGGGTGTGGTGGCTCACACCTGTAATCCCAGCACTTTGGGAGGCCAAGGTGGGGGGATTACCTGAGGTCAGGAGCTCAAGACCAGCCTGCCCAACAGGCAAAACCCTGTCTCTACTAAAAATACAAAAATTAGCCGGGTGTGGTGGTGCGTGCCTGTAATCTCAGCTGTGAGGGAGGCTAAGGCAGGAGAATCGCTTGAACCCAGAATGTGGAGGTTGCAGTGAGTGAAGATCACATCACTGTATTCCAGCCTGGATGACAGAGGGAAACTCTGTCTCAAAAAAAAAAAAAAAAAGAAAAGAACTTGTGCCCCTTACTCCTGCCACCTGGACACGTCCTCAAGTGCTTTCCCATGAGATAAAGCTGGTGGGAACCTCATTCCCATTTCACAGATGAGAAGTGTGAGGTCTGGAGAGGAGCCGGGACTTGCCTAAGGTCACACAGCCAGGGAGGTGGATGTTAGGGTCCCTGCCTCGGGTTTGGAGAAGCATGGTGGACACAGAGCTAGTGGATTTGAGAGGCAGGGGTGGTCCCCTATTCACCTCTGTTGCTCCCCCAACTCCAGAGTGACAGAGCTGGGTGTGGCAGTGGAGCGTCTTCAGAAGCAAAATCTGGAGAAGGATCAGGTCAACAAGGACCTCACTGAGAAGCTTGAGGCCCTGGTGAGACGCAGCTGCCCCTGAGATGTGGCAGGGTGGGATGGGGTACTGGCCAGATCCATGGACGCAGGCTTAGGGCTGGGCTGCCTGGGCCACCCCCAGTGTCCCACTCACACTCAGGTTCAGCCCTCACAGGTGTGCAATCTTCGTGGTAAGCACACTCACCTCCTCCATCCCATTTCTTCCCCCCAGCAGCCCAGTAGTGTAATCCTCATGACACAGATGGGGAAACTGAGGCCCAAGAGGGGAAGGGATTACAGGCGTGAGCCACCGCACTCGCCAGTGGCTGGTTTAGTTTTGCCCAAATCTGGGTTTGCTTGCCATTGCAACTTGGCAACATTTATCTTTTCTGCCTCTTGTTTTTGGTTTTTCCATCTGCAGGCAGGTTCCTTAGTTGGTATGAGCGGTCCAGCTTGACTCGATGAGCATTTGTACAGCACCGTGGCATTCTGGGTCTGACCTCGATACAGTAGTAGAGCCTCAAAGTGCAAATGCCTTGGCCTTGCCCTTCAGTCACTTATTGGGAGGCTGCTGGTCAAAGTGGAATGAGCTCTGGGCTCACTACTTCCCTGAAGCATGTCACCTTGAATAAGAGAGCCTGACCTCTGAGCCTCAGATTTCTTATCTGGAAATGGGTTGAAGTAAGGATTTAATGAGATAATGTGAATATGCCCCCTTTGGGGCACAGCATGGAGCAGAGGGCGCCCAGAGGCCAAGGTCTGAGGCATAGCAGTGAAGCAGGACGAGCCACAGGCAAAACTCCTCAGACACCGGGTTAAAGAAGGAAGGAGCTTTATTTGGTTGGGAACTCGCAGAATTGTGTCTTAAAAGCGGAGCTCCCTCATGAGAGCAATTCCTGTCCTTTTTTCAGGGCTTACAACTCTAAGGACAGGAGCCCAGACACATGATGCTAATGACAATAGGAACAGCGGCCACCATTGGCTAATAGGCCTACCACCCGCCTGGTGTGGCAGGTACTTACTATTAGTCTCTTTTTTGTTGTTTTGGTAGGAAAGAGTCTCGCTCTGTTGCCCAGGCTGGTCTCAAACTCCTGGGCTCAAGCGCTTCTCCCATCTTGGCCTCCCAAAGTGCTGGGATTACAGACCCGGAACCACCATGCCCAGTCTAGTCTCATTTTATTTTATTTTTTTATTTTTTTATTTTATTTTAATTAATTAATTAATTTAATTCTTTTCATGCAGAGTCTTGCCCTGTCACCCTGGCTGAGTGCTGTGGCACAATCTTGGCTCACTGTCACCTCCTCCTCCGGGGTTCAAATGATTCCCCTGCCTCAGCCTCCTGACTAGCTGGGATTACATGCACATGCCACCAAGCCCCAGCTAATTTTTTTTTTTTAGACGGAATCTTGCTCTGTCACCCAGGCTGGAGTGCAGTGATGCGATCTCTGCCACCAAGCTCAGCCTCCCGGGTTCATGCCATTCTCCTGCCTCAGCCTCCCAAGTAGCTGGGACTACAGGCGCCCCGCCGCCACACCTGGCTAATCTTTTTGTATTTTTTTAAATAGAGATGGGGTTTCGCCTGTTAGTTGTGATGGTCTTGATCTCCTGACCTCGCGGATCCACTCGCCTTGGCCTCCCAAAGTGCTGGGATTACAGGTGTGAGCCACTGCGCCTCGCCAATTTTTAAATTTTTATCTATTTATTTTTTTGAGACAGTCTTATTTCACGCCAGGCTGAAGTGCAGTGGTGTGATCTCGGCTCACTGCAACCTCCGCCTTCCAGGTTCAAGCGATTCTCCTGACTCAGCCTCCCAAGTAGCTAACACAGGCATACACCACCATACCCAGCTAATTTTTGTATTTTTATTAGAGACGAGGTTTCACCATGTTGGCCAGGATAATTCCACCCTTGACTCGTGATCTGCCCACCTTGGCCTCCCAAAGTGCTGGGATTGCAGGCTAATTTTTATATTTTTAGTAGAGATGGGGTTTCACTATGTTGGCCAGGCTGGTCTCGAACTCCTGACCTCAAGTGATCTGCCCGCCCAGCCTCCCAAAGTGCTGGAATTACAGGTTTCCCAGCCACCACACCCGGCCTGGTCTAGTCTTTTAGAGATGAGAAAACTGAGGCTCAGGGAGGCACCTGTTCAAGGTCATACTGGTCTTGAAGACACCATAGTTGCAAGTGACCAGCTGTGTCTCACATGCAACCTCAGACCTGATACTGACTCCAGAGCTGTGTGCCTAACCACTATACCACATAGCCTCCTTGCCCCAGGGAAAGAACAATAAGAGGTGGTGGGTGACCCCAGTCTCAGGGCCCTGGGATATAGGCACTGTGCTTTCTTTTTCTCTCCTTTTATTTTGCAGACAAGTTTCGCTCTTGTTGCCCCGGCTGGAGTGCAATGGCACGATCTCGGGTCACTGCAACCTACGCCTCCCAAGTTCAATTGATTCTCCTGCCTCAGCCTCCTAAATAGCTGGGATTACAGGCATGCGCCACCACGCCCGGCTAATTTTTATATTCTTGGTAGAGACGGGGTCACCCACATCCGTAAGGCTGGTCTCAAACTCCTGACCTTAGGTGATCCGCCCACCTTGGCCTTCCAAAATGCTGAGATTACAGGCCTGAGCGCCTATGCCCAGCAGGTACTGTGCCTTTTGGATTTTCCAATGAATGAAATGAGTATTTCTTGAGTGTTGACCCTGTGACCCCCTGGCACCGTGTCAAGGTGCTGGTTATGCACACACACGATATTCTGTTTCATCCCCGGACGGCTCCAGGTGAATGCCAATATTATCAAGCATCTTACGTAAGAGGACACTGAGGCTCAGAGAGGCAAAGTCACTGTCACTGGTGCACCCAGCTAGTGGGGGCTAGGGTGGGTGTGGAGGGGCCAGAAGCTTCCTAATAAGTGCTCAAGGGCAAGGCTGGGGCATTTGTAGGTCGAGGCTGTGCCACTGTGTCTAGGTCAGGACCTAGAAGCCGCAGGTGTTGCATAAATGCTCATCAGTCCAGGCTGGACCGCTCATGCCCAACTAAGTGCCTAGCCTGGTCTGGGTGACCTCACAGCCTGCATTCTTTGCCCTACACCTGTTGGGGAAAGCGTGCCCCAGCGTGCTATAAATCCTCACATTCATAGCTAACCATGTGACCCCAGTTCTGGGCCAGCAAAGATGATCCGAAGACTTAGGCTCTGGCCTTTCCCACTGCATGACTACTGACTCCACCCCCTGACTTGGAGGGCCTAGGACCCAGCAACCTGTGAGGTGGAGTGTGTGAGGTCCTGACCGTGGTGCCTCTCCCCCCTCTTTCCTCCCCCATTCCCCTCTTCTGTCTCTCTCCTCCCTCCCTTTCTCTCCCCTCCTCCCCTCTCTTATTCTTCCTCCTTTTGGCTCCCGCTCTGCTTCCCCTCTCCTGTCCTTTCCCATCTCCTGCTTCAGCCCCTCATCCTGCCCTCCCACCCCGGTGGTCACATGGGGCGCCATGGGATTTAAGCTTAATCTGCTCTGGTGCTCAGCACAGCAGCCTGGCATGTGGCGTGTGCTGACTGAGCTGTCTTGGGTCCTGGGGAAGGGGGCTGAAGGAGTGCCTGATAGCCTCCTATGAGCTTGGGGCTGGCGGGAAGTAATAGAAGGAGCTGACGCAGAGACGGTTATCCAGGTGGGTCCTTGGGCTGTGCCCACCCTGTCTGGGGCGGGGCAGTGTGGACTTAGCAGGAGTGGTGAGAGGTGTGTACGCCTTGGGGGTCAAGGGGTGGGAGGGATATGGTGGTGGTGGGGTATAACGGGCCCCCACTTGCAGTTCCTGGCAAGACGGGGAGGGATGTACACACAGGGTGCACCTGCTGTGGCTCCTCTATCCAGTGCCCTGCATTGGGAGAAGGTCCCTACTTCCAGATTTTAGGATCAGAGGACCTCTGGCATAGCCGGATCCTCATCCATCTAGGTTGGAGCCGGATTGAGCCCCCAACACTGGACTGCCTCAGTGGGGTTTAGGGAGCGTCTGTGGGGCCTGGCCCCGCATCTGGCCTGGGTGGACTTCTTCCAGGGGTGGGGAGCGCACAAGAGGCTCCTCCCATGGGATTTTGATTCGACCCAGGCTTCACTCCATCTTGAGGGCTTTAGGACTTGTATTTGAGGAGACTATTGGCTAGAGCTTAGGTCCCAGGTCCCCTGAAGACCCCTCTCGATTTTCCCCACAGACACTGGAGAGCAGCGTCCTGTGCCAGGAGAAGGGCTTGGGCACGCGGGACCTGGCCCAGGACGCTCAGACCACCAGCCTGCTTGCCTGCATCAGGGCTTGTCACCACAACCTCTCCCCCGCCTGGAGAGCCCAGGTGCCACCTCCCATCCGCTCCTCCACAGACACCACCCACATTTTACTCTTCGCATGTCCCTTTCCTGAGCAGTCATACTGATGTTCATGACTGTAACTTGCTGTGGGACAGGCACAACCTTATGACAGAAGAAGCCCATTTTACAGATGAGGCAAACGGAGGCTCAGGATGAATTTGCCCAGACTTATTCCGCATGTGGTAACTAGAAGGAAGGGCCGAGCATCCCTCCGTGCTTGCCTGTAGCTTGCTGCAAAGATGTGAACTCCAAATCCCATATTCCCACCTGGGGAAGGTGTGGAGCTGGCTGAACCCAAGATAGAGGGAGAGGGCAGCTCATCTCGGTGACCAGGTTTTGCAGAAGTCTCAGTGGATGGCGCTGTCCATCCATTTCCACGTGGCAGTGGGAATGTGATGGTCCCTGCTCCTCTTAGCGGGTGGCACACACGGTGTCGTTATGGTGGCTTTAGGTCTAAAGAAGATGAACAGTTGCATGTATGCACTCTCCTGATGCTTTTATGTTTCAACCATTGTCTTGTTCCAACTGACAGTTTCACAGACTGAGTCTCTTGGGAAATGCTGGATGTTGACATTTGAGGTTCTGTAAGACAGGAGTGCCTACCCCGGCACCTGGAGCCTATGTCCAGTTCTCCCAGGTAGAAGGGGAACCTACAGGAGGTGGACAACCCTGCTTCTCCCACTGGCCT